CAACTAAACTAATTTCCAAGTTAAAGCATCAAAGTGTTAAATATGAATCTATTGAGTATAAGTTTGATCAAAACTGTCTTATAGTAAAAGGTGAAAATGTCGATTTTACTGGTTAGTGATCGCTAAGAACTATGTGTTTATACATCTAACAAACTTAACTAAACTATTTCGATGTTAGAGCTTCAAAAAGATAAAGACGATAACGACGATCCTATGGCAAAAAGTGAGTAATTATTGTAGTTTACACTTATTTATGACCAAGATATAGCTGATTTCAAAATTCTGAATTGTGGCATTGTGGAATCGTATTGCATTATATGAGTGCTCGAGAGCGAAAATGTGCGAGTCCATAAATTCTCGAAATAACGCCAAGGGATGAAATTACGAATTTTAGCCTAAATTAAGCTTAATTCGAGCCAAAACTCAAAATAACGCCTATGTCAAGATCAGGCTGTCACACGTTTTCGTTCTCGAGCAGAATTATGAAACCTCTCTATAATGGATTTATTTCTGCAAGTGAACAAATCACAAATATTTATTTGGAATTTGACCAACGTTAGGGTTAAGTGTTGGTATGAGGAGCATCATATACAGTGTTGTTGAAGGTAATTTTACCATCGTAACTTACCATGGTAAATTACCGGTAAGTTACTAAAATTTCTTAATGGTAAGTTACATGATAAGGACTGTGATGAATTATATCATAATTACGAATCAAATTGTAGAAAATTCATAATCCCAAAACTTAGTAATCAATAAAGATATAGTATAAATAGCTTGAAATGTTATATCAAAAATAAAATAAAATTATTATACCGGTATATATTATTTAAAAATGCCACGACAAAAAGGTATTTTTTGGAATGAATATGAATTAGTTGATATTGATTCAGAAGGAACAGAGAAGTATCGTTGTAAGCATTGTAATATTACGTATGTTAAAAATGCTACAAGATTCCAAAATCACCTTGAAAATTGTGTGAATTATCAAAAAAAATCAACAGAATCAACAGATATTACAATAAACAATAATGGTGCAGCAACAATTTTTCAAAAAAAAAAATGTCGTATAATTCAATCATCCATTGATGAATATACTGAAAGTGATCAAAAAACACTAGAAAATTTATTAACACGGGCTTTTTGTTCAGCTGGAATATCATTTAATGTAATTGAAAATGAAGATATTAAAGCTGTATTTCAAAAAAGTATTTCATGGTTTAAGGTTCCATCACGATTTCGGTTATCAAACACACTTTTACATTAAGAATATATGAAAATTAAACAACTTGTTGAAAGTATTTTGAATGAATCTGAATACTTTTGTATTACAAGCGATGGATGGTCTAATATTCACCAATTGCTAGTAATTAACTATATGATTACAACGCCAAGTTCTTTTTTTTATAAAGCAGTATTTACTGGTGAACAACAGCATACTGCAATTAATATAGCAGCAGGAATTGAACATGTTATTGATGAAATTGGAAAAAATAAAATTGTTGCAATAATTACGGACAACGCTAATGTTATGAAAGCAGCCTGGGAAATTTTAAAAACATCATTTTCCCAAAAGGTATATATTAACTATATTATATTTATTATAATTTGTATATACATATGTATTGTATATTTAATTATTTAATTTTATTTTATATTTTATTTTTTTTTAGGTTGTTGGGCACACGGGATTAAGCTTTGGATCAAAGATATTCTTAAGTTAGAGTGGGCGTCTCAAGCTGTACGATTTATGAAAGAAATTCTTAACTATGGCCATACAAACTTATATTTTCAGTTTTCATATCACCAACTGACCTCTCATGACCCGCCAACCTGGATTTTAATTTTTTTTAAAGAAATTTTTATAATAAAAAAAATTATTTATGAATTTTATTGTCTCACACCGGGTACTTGGTAAAAATTTCATATGTAAAAAAAATTTAATAAAGCAATATAAGCTTATATTATCGGTCTTTATAGCACTAACGAAACTTTAATGACTGATGACAGATTTAAAACTTTTTTTTTTTAAAAAAAATATTTTTTAATAAAAATTTTATTGTAACTCAGCCAGAATATCTGGTAAACCGATCTTATATTCGAAAGAAATTTTAATAATCATGTATATACGAACAGATTTATATATTTACTGGGGTGAAATTCAGCTTCTACCGGTAATTTTTTGTACTTAATTACAATTAGAAGCCAGGATTTATTAGGATTCTATTGAAATGACCAAGAATTTGTTTTTTT